TAAAAATAAAAATTTTCCATTGAATTTCAACGCGTTGCCGTCACTCCCACGCATCGTCTTCGCTCGAGTCCCAGTGAAAATTTACAGACGCGGCAGCTTCTGATTTGGATTACCAGAAGCTGGGCCGACTCTAAATTTTGTTAGGGGTAGCTGGTCTTATGTGAGTGCAACAACCGAGGACTAACATTGACTAAAATATTACCGTTCGATTGCAGTGCAATAAATGTTTGACCTCGTATTATCACAATGTCATCAATTCTTTAATTAATACATAATTTGTGCTATTAGTTATGTATGATTTGCACGTTGAAAGAGACATGATTTATTTAATCAGTGATACATGATACGTGAGATTTGTGATGTGTTATTTTTGTGATTAGTGATGCATGATATATGAAATTAGTGATAAGTGAAATTAATTATACATGCATATATATATTATATTATATTATATTATATTATATTATATTATATTATATTATATTATATTATATTATATTATACATGCATATATTAATTATACATACATTTGTATACATATAATTATATTTATACAAATTAATTATACATGCTTTGCACGATTAGTGACACATAATACGTGAGACTCTTAATACATAATATGCATGATAAGTGATACATCATACGTATGATTTCTGATACATGTTTCAAGCCTCAAAATCGCATAGGTGAACGCTAGTAGAAACCTGACCTTCAATATAAACAAGTCTCTTTAAATAGATTACAGTATAAGCATTCGTTTGAGAAAATTAGCTATAAAACAGCTTTAGCTCAAACTTGAGTTCACATACCAAAAGCCTTATCTTCTGTTAGCTCCAAAGGCAATTTTGGAGTGAGCGCTTCCATTGTTTTCCTCTCCAAAAATTGGGTCGTTAATCTGAGCGAATCTCCATTCCCGGCGGTAGCAGGGCCTATACTTTCAAAAAAAGTTAAGAGATCGTAAGTTCATCAGCCAATCATTGACGGTCTTTCAAGCAAAATCCACCAATCATAGACAATAAAATAGAGAACATGCACCAATAGAGGCTCACGGTTTTTATGTCAGAAGTTTGTAGAACTCGCTCAGACAAGAGTAGCGCACTAGCCCTGATCTCGCTGCCTTGTCTATAACTTAAGTTATTCAAGTTTGAATGAGGCTATTTTGAATGGCTATTTTGCGAGTCGCAGTCAAAGTGTTAAAAATAATAAAACTGCTTGTAACGGCTAACGGCCGTTACAAGCAGCATGTCCGGTGCCATAGTCACTATTTATAGTTTTATAGTGAATCACTGTTACCTTAATCAGTGACGATATGATTAAAGAAATCGTGATATATGCATTCAAATGTAGTTGAAAAGAATTATGCAGAGTCAAGTCAACAAAATCATGGGTACGAGAAGTAGAAGTCAGACGCAAGCGTTTCATGTGCGGCATTGACTCGAAGGTAAACTCAATTAATGCGCAGTTTGCTCTGCTTCAATTTGAGATAATACTGCACTTACGTCTAAGTCAGCCAACGACGGCAATAACCATTAAAGCCATAGACTGATTAATTATGGCTTTAAAACTGAAGCAACCTAGCGGGCTTAGGTGATCAGTCTTTGGAGTTAGGAACGCTCGAGGATTTGAAGTGAATTTGCAGACCAGATGAAGCGGGAGGAAAAGCGATCATTGATCTAAATAGAATTTGAGAAAATTATAATGGCCACCATGTACAAAGCTAAAAATGTTAATCAAGTCGCATGAAACTTGATATAATAAGATAGGATATTATAATTCATTTAGAAAATGTGAAACCACAAGCAATACATCGTTAGTGATGACAATCCTGGAAAAATAAGGAACGAATAATGACAAGGAAGATTCTTGTTTTTTGTTGTTTTTTGAAATTGGTCGATCAGGAAAAATTGTGACTGTATAATGCATTAATTCTAAGGAATAAACATTTTAATACATGTCGGAGAGAAGACGATGGATCGCTATGAAAAAACGCTCGAAACCAATAAAAGCTTTGCATTGAATTTCAACGCGGCGCTGTCACTTCCACGTACCGTGTCCGCTTATTCGCTCGAGTGGCCGGTCTTATGTGAGTGCAACAACAGGGATTAATATCGAGTAAAATATTGCAGCTCGGATGCGCCATTAGTTATATATGATTTGTACAATGCGAGAGACATGATTTCCGTGATAAGTGATACATAATGCGTGATATTAGTGATACGTTATTTTTGTGATTATTGATACATGATACGTGAGATTAGTGGTACGTAATTTCGGTGATTAGTGATACATGATACGTGAAATTTGTGATTCACGCTTTGCATGATTATTGATGCATGTTACGTGAGACTAGTAATACATGATACGTGTGATAAGTGATACATCATACGTGGGATTGGTGATACTTAATTCTACTCTCAAAATCGTATAGTGAATCCGAGTAAAAATCTAACTTTAACATAAAGTAAACGAGTCTCTTTAAATATATTACATTATGAGCATTCGTTTAAGAAAGGTAACTATAAAACGGCTAGTGCATGCTCAAACCTGAGATTGTGACCCAAAAGCCTTATCAAGGAATTTAAAAGCAAAGAAAACGCCAAGAAAATTCACCATATCGATATTGAAAACGTTTCGGAGTCTAGCTCCATCATCAGTTCGACTAAACTAAAAATGAATAAAATCACTTTAAAAGTCAAAACTTTTAAAGTGGTTTTGACTTTTAAAGTGATTTTATTCATTTTTACTTTAGTCGAACTGATGATAGAGCTAGACTCCGAAACGTTTTCAATATCGATATGGTGAATTTTCTTGGCGTTTTCTTTGCTTTTAAATTCCTTGTGAACTTGCGATATAAGCAGACTAATAATATAAGTACTTATATACGATCTAAAAGCCTTATCTTTTGTAGGCTTTAAGGCAATTTTGGAGCGAGCGCGTCCATTGCTTTCCTGTTCTAAAATTAGGCCGTTAATCTGACCAAATGTCCGATCCCGGCGGTAGCTGATGTGCAAGTCCTCCTGGAAGTCGCAAGTCTTAAAGCTAGTCGTAGGGAGGTGAGTCTCAAGTTATTAGGTTAGTCATTAGTCTGAGGTTAGTTGCCAGTCACGATGTTGGTCACAGTCTGAGATTAGTTGCCAGTCATTAGGTTAGTCTTGAGTTGTGAATTAAGTCACTGAGCATGAGTTTGGTCATCAGTCATTCTAGTTAGTCATCTGTCGTAAGATTATTAATTAGTTTTGAAATTAAACGTGAATTGTCAATTCTTCCCGAGATAAATAATAACAAACCCGATTTTTCTTTAGGAAAAAATCTAAGAAAAATATTTTAACGGCTTAACAATCGGCCAAATATTTCATTTCATTTTCTGTTGATCCTATCCCATGAATAATCGAGGGTATTTCTTATATGGCTGACAGGCAGACAATACTGCGATGGTACCTTCAACCTCAGCAGCACAAAATGTCTGGTAGCAACACAGACGCTGGTAAGACATTACAAATTCTCAATAGTCGCGGCTCATTAGCTATAGATTAATTAATCATTGAGGTCGCGGCTCATTATAAATTATTAATAATTAAGAGAAGAACTTTCTTGCTAGTGAGGGGAAAACTGATCTTGAGTCAAGCATTAAACACCCCGTGCCTGAGATGGTGAGGAGTGGTGTGATGGTGAGGAGTGGTGAGATGATGAGTGGTGAGATGGTGAGGAGTGGTGAGATGGTGAGGAGTGGTGAGATGGTGAGGAGTGGTGAGATGGTGAGGAGTGGTGAGAAGGTGAGGAGTGGTGAGATGGTGAGGAGTGGCGTAAAAAAAGATAACGCACTCTATTGGTGACGTAGTATTTTATATTTATATTTTTATTTTACAATATCTTATAAATTTTTTTATTATTTATTTTGGTGATTTGTCGCCTCATAAAGCAATAATAAAAAAATAAATTGAAATAAATATTCCCAGGCACGCATTTTTTGTGCTCTTTAATCATTCTTGGATAAATTTACTCCACATATCTACTTAAAAAACACTTCATTCGTGCAATTTTAATTTAATTCCGGTGACACGTGACTTGCAAGTTTTTTTTTCTCAGTAATGCGTGAAAACATAAATGTTTCATCTGCATTTTCTTTTTAACATCATGTAATTTCAATTCCATTTTAATTCATGCTAACTACACATATACCATAATAATCTGAAAATAATGACTGTCAAGAGCCTATTTTACGAGACCGAAAATTATTTCTGTGGGTTTTTACCAGTTTATTACAGTGAAACGTGACGTGAAAATCCGTAGAGTTCTCGCCGACTGCTGTGTATACGCTTTTACTTTTAAAATGCATGAGTTCACGGTGTTTCCACGGAAAAAAATGATAGAAAACGAACTTGAAGCGCTTAGCTTCAAAGAAAATATTCCCTTATGCGATGGGAGACTGAATTGTACGCTAGTAAAATACGCAGTCAATTTAGTCAAAAAGACCAATCCTTTCTGTTAATTTTCAGCTATACATTTACGTGGTTTACGTTCGATTCAAGTTTCGAAAACAGTGATACATTCATAAAAAGCTAGAAAGTGTTGCAAGCAATTTGATGGAATTTGTTTTAAGAAATAAATAGCAAAATAGAGCATAAAGCCAGCGTAAAAATGAGAGAAACGAGAAGAAAACATTCAAAGTTTTAGTCCATTTATTATAATTCATGTCGATATACATACATAGATACAAATTAGAGTGACAAAAATATAATTTACGCACTAACACATAACTAGGCTTCGAAGTTTGTTTTGTATACACAATATAAATACATTAATACATACTAACCACACTACGAATTTCTTCCCTTTAAATAATGAAGATTAAATAACAATAAACACGTTTTTCATTATATTTTAGTACCCCAAAAATACACTGAAAATCTGTATTTTATATGACCCTACAGCGAATAAAATAGTTAAATAGGCAACTTATTGGAATTTTTACATAGCTGATAAGTTGTATTTGACTCGTTAAATGCGATAGTATTCATGTGCCACATTTATTATCGGTATCGCATACGTAGCAAATGTATTCCTTCTGACACGAAGAGTCGGGACTGGTGATAGTTGAACGTTCACAGAGGTTGTTTTAACTAAATTTGTGAAACGCACGCAGTCGTAATTTTATTTAATCGCTTTCGTATGTTTCATGGGATAATGATTTAATTTTCGTTAATGGTTTCAGATACAAATAGGAAGGTAACTTAACCACAATGCAAAGTTTAAAAAAATACAATTCATCCAAACCAAGTTTGTCAATGAAAAGATATTGTCTTCGAAATTATCAAAAGTTTCAACAGATGTACCATGATTTAGTCCTTTTCTGTGTAGTTTCTTCACATGACAGTCTTGGCAAGAAAAATACTTCAGGTATACGAGTTACTGTGCTTGAATCATTGTATAAATTCTGTATCCTTATATTGATACTCACATGAACGATAATTTGAAAACACTGCCCTATTAGAAACGGTTTACCTTTTTTAAATTACAAAGTTTGTGGAGAACATGGGGTAATACGTACGGAATATATTCCATTAAAACTCAATTTAGACTATAAACAACATTTTCTGGATGATGGAAAATTTTCATTGACTACATGCACAACTCATTTCTGTCTCAATTTCTTTCTGAATTTTCAGCTACTTTGACCGATAATTTTGAATTTTTCACATGTGATTTCCTACACGCATCGATGACAAAGTGAAATATAATCGATGAAACTAGAACCCCGAAAGTTTTCGACTCATGAAAATCTGTCACGTAAAATTCAATTTAGTGTTGGCATTCGCTGCAGCTACATAAATGGATAAAAAATATTCACTGCACAACCGGCAGTTTATATAATCAACAGTATCTAACTTATTCAAACACTACATTAAATCAGTAGGCACACCAGATAGTGCTATTGAAAAATAGCCGCTAAAATTTCTGATTTATTTCTACAGATTTTCAGGCTACATATACTGAAGATGAACCCCAGACACACCGTCTGTCGAAGTTTTCGTATGCAGCGTCGGACGAGAAGTTTTTGGTGCAGCAGGTATGTCCGGTGGCAGAGTTTCTGGACTCACACCGCCATCCGCTAGCAGCGTTTGCAAAATGGGATTGTCCTGGAATTGGGTGGGTGGATCTCTGATGTTACCTGAAATTGAAATTTTTTTAATACTGAGAATTCAGTTCAAGCATGTTAGACTATTTAAGCATGTATAAAATAATTGTTGTTAGAATATTAAAAGGATATATAATAGTGAGAAGCATTATCATTTTAATGAAATATATTTGAAAGGATCAAACTACACTTTCTATAAATTCAGCTTGACGATTACACAATTCTTGCAAATTCTAAAGAAAATATTATCATATGGAATTCTTGTAGCACGCATTTTCTTCAAACTTTTATTATCGAGGCTTATTAGCAGTTTATCAGATCAGCTCTCCCCGACCAGTTTTCGTTCGTTTTGTCAATATTGGTTTATAATATTACATCTAATTTTGCCTACGCAATTGCTGATTTCATGTAGGTCAAACAACGCTGAAAGATGGGAGTAGTGTTTGAAGCTCTTCAATGACATTTGTAGCTTTTATTATGTCTTCCCGTCGATTATTGATCATGTAATGAAGTAATCGTAATAACTTTTTAGAAGGAACAACCATGCACAATGTAATTCAGTAGTATAATAAATCATTTTGTGAATCTACAAACCGGCCTTAATAAAAAATAAATACACGTTGCTGAGTCGAATTTTTGTTACAAAATTTATACATGTGAAGAGTATCAGTCGTTTTCGATGTAGGCATGTAAACATTTTATGAGTGTTTAGGAGTTATCAAATTGGCTTCGTTAGAAATATGCCGGTGCTCAAAATCTAACTGAAAATCTTCTCTTCACACCGCATATATGTATACCTATTTAATTCCAAAATCATATTATTCACACTACCAACCGTCTTCGCATCGATGGATCCGGGAGACGGTATAAGTCGCAGTAGACTTGGTCAGATCTTCATTTCTGCAAGGGACATCAGTTCCAGCTCGGTGTATGTTGGAAGTTAAGGGAATGCAACTTTCACCGGACGGGATGTGGCTTTTTGGTCGCGGAATTTTGGTTGCGGCCGCGAACGTCAAGTTCAGGTCGTCCGGATAAGAAGAAAGCTTTTCGTCCGCGTCCGACTTTTTCTTCGCGCGTTTCCGGTGGATGGCAACCACCAGGAACAGCATCAGGAACACTGGATGTTTATTTGTATATCAGACAAAAGGAATTATTGTTATATTAGTTATTAGAGGTGTTATCTTGTTATCAAGCCTATTATGAAGCTTATATCAACCTTTAGAATATCTGAAGTTGTATTAATTCAGCAGAAATAAAATTTGTCAAAAATTATTTACCATAATCTTGTTAGAGTTTATTAATTAAATTGAAAATTTTGTGCCTTTTGATGGGTTTCGCTTTGTAAGACTAAAACTGCCACATAGAAAATTGTTTCATTTCTTCACAGTTAATCCTTCATTCCTTATGATAAACTCGGCAGCATCAGAAATTCAGTATCGCTTCATTAATGAGGAATAATAGCAAAATAATTTTATAGCTAGTTATTCACCTCACAATGTTTAGATATTAGTACTCATGAAATACAGCCTCCGTTATAAAGCAACAGCATAAATTTCACCAGTACAAAGTACGTGAATAAACTTCTCCTATATAACATATAGATCAGTCTCAATTAACAAAATAATATTCACTTAAATAATACGAAAAAAATATAACTCAGTACTCACTACAGTGAGTGACAGAGAGCGCATTTTCTCGTCGACGAAAACATGAAGTCACGGGCAGACAGACAGACGGACAAATGGACATTGCGAACACAATAGTGCATTTTTTTCATAAATGAGAAAATGCGCTAAAAATATAAAATGATAATATTCACCAATGATGGCGCCGGCAGCGGCAGCGGCCAGTTGAAGTAGCAGCGTAGCGGTGGTGGCCGAGGCGCCCGCGGGTGCCACGTCTTGACAGTGCGTGCCGCTGTGGCCGTCCGTACATGCGCACGTGTAACCTGGGCAGTTATATATATATATTAATTGTTACAGTCTGTACAATTGCGTGTACAATATTGCGACAGTCTGTACAATAGCGTGTACAATATTGCTACAGTCTGTACAATAGCGTGTACAATATTGCTACAGTCTGTACAATAGCGTGTACAATATTGCTACAGTGTGTACAATAGCGTGTACAATATTGCTACAGTCTGTACAAGAGCGTGTACAATATTGCTTCAGTCTGTATAATAGCGTGTTCAATATTACTACAGTCTGTACAATAGCGTGTAAAGTATTGCTACAGTCTGTACAATAGCGTGTACAGTATTGCTACAGTCTGTACAATAGCGTGTACAATATTGCTACAGTCTGTACAATAGCGTGTACAATATTGCTACAGTCTGTACAATGGCGTGTACAATATTGCTACAGTCTGTACAATAGCGTGTACAGTATTGCTACAGTCTGTACAATGGCGTGATACACTAACATGTGTAACCTGACCAGTTATAAATTTTAATTGTTTCAGTCTTAGCGTCAAGAATGACGGCGAAAAATACGGTGGTGAAACAAATTATGGGTTATAATTAATTCTTAATGCCATAACCTATACACAAAAAATTAAGTGGTAAAAAATCAATTGCGTTACGACAACAATTTCAACTTGTTGGATCGACATCGATCTTTGAAAGAGACATTTACAGCAATTGCTTTGCGATCGAGTACTGACACATGATAAAGCCCTTTTTTGTACTTTTAACTGCATTAAAAAACATTTTGGAAGTAAATCAACCGTATTTCAAAACAATTGTAAGGTTCTTAAAAAATCCAATGGTTTTTAAATGGTTTTTAAAAAAGGTTAAAAGGCAATGGTTTTTAAAAAATCCGATTTACTATTTACAGACAGGGAATAAATTCGTTAAGAAAATCCAAGACATCAATTCCACAGTTACATGTGGAAGTTCATTTCCATATTACTCTTAAAAGTAGCAGGAAATGAATATGACAGTGCACTCATGTCATAATATCATGAAATGATTTGGGCATATTCATGAGCCATGAAAGCTGACAGGAGAAGGTATGTACGGTCTTTTCTACTTCAACATACGCCTAGCTCTCCTCATCGTCAGGTTCGAAATATGAATACATTTTCTGCCAGAGATGAACGCAAAACTATTTTAATACACTTAATTTTCGTCCAAAGCTGCTTCCTCAAAATTTCACAAGAAACACGAGGAGTTTCATCGCTAAGAGACTCAAGTGAAGCGGCATTAATACGGGCATAAATGCGAGTAATTAGTATTAGATGGCAGAATTTACTTGTTTATACACAATAATGATGACCAGATCGAGAATTCGTTGATTTATATTTTCAGAGAGTGGAACTTTTCTTCAGATGACGGAAGATTAAAAAACAAGTTTAAGGAAGTAGTTTCTGTTTATTAACGACGTTTCTAATGCAACAAACATTCATTTTCAAGTTAAAAGCGTTAAATATTGAAATTTTAGTGGAAATAAGTACATAATATATGTAAATAGGATACAATGCGAGTAAGTATACCGGCGAACAATATTGAAAGAGTAAAAATTTAATTGCGTTGGATCTGCTGAAAATTGTTGCACTTGAATTGAATTGAACTTTGTATATGAAGTATTATGCATAAAAATGAGTTTAGAGCAGCAGTGAGTGTCAAAATAAAATCAATTCAATTTGCTGCGTGTTGGGAAAATTATATTTAATGCGATCTTGAGTAAAAGAAGCGAAGACTTTAAACGTTGCCGGCTATTTTGCAAAGGGAAAGTCATAATTTCTCACTGCAAGTGCAACGCAATAAGCTTATTTAAAGTCTCTCAGGTGTAGAGTAGCAGAGAGTTTTACCGACCTTGCAGGTACTTTAACTTCACTTTGGAGAATCATTTTGGTTTAGCAGAGCAAATAGCGTCAAAGCTAAGTAAAATACTCCGCTCAAAATTATTTACTAATGATTGTGAAGAAAAGCTTCTAGAGCAATGCAAGTGACTTGTTCAGAACACTATTTACCTTAAATAAACTTATGGCTTTTCAACTGAGTATAAATGATGCTATAACTGAACTATTCTCATAGACATTTTTGTAATAATATTTTAAAAAATTGTCTTTTGCATTGCGATTTTTAGTATGGCGGAAAGATCAGTGTGTGTCTAAGCAAGTCAGAGCCTCTATTGAGTGAAAAAATCGTTTGTCGATTGGTACAAAAAATTCATTTTGAAAATGACGGTTGCTGAGATGAATTGATTTATGATACATGATAAAAAGGTAAACAGTTCAATATTTTTCTTTCCAACTGTGATATCAGCGACAGCTTCAACTATACTCGAAGAAACATCAGGCAAAAATCTTTGTTAATTGTGAATGTTTGTTCAATCGTGCATTTTTGAACAAACATTCACATTTGTTTGCATTTATTGTGTAAATTCATACATTAAATGTGTGAATTTACTGCCAAGTAAATTCATACAAATAACATAAACGCATAAAAATGAATACTTATCAAATCTAAACGCGTGCTCCTATTCATCAACGCAGATATATTAATATTTCATCGCGTGCTTTTATTCGTCAACACAGATATATTTATCCTTCAACGCGTGCTTTTGTTCATCAACGCAGATGAATGATGAATAAGATCAACGCAGAATAATAATGAATAAGAGCATTATCGAATATATAATTAATTAATACGAATAGTTTTCACTGTGGTTCACCTGGCGCTGTGTTGACACAAGATCCTCCGTTGAAACACGGAGAACTTGTAGTACGGTGGTAGGGGCAACGCGTGACCGTCTAGTCTCAAGTCGTCCAGACATGCTGCGAGATTATTGTTATATAATAATATTAAAGGAATTAAACGGTGTTAAGTCATTCCAAGCCATTCCAAGCCTTTCCAAGCCATTGCAAGCCATTCCAAATCATTCCGAGCCATTCCGTAAATGCCGTGAAAGAGACATGAATGATACGGCGGTAAGGGCAAGGCATGACCGTCTAGTCTTAAGTCGTCCAGACATGCTGCGAGAATAATGTTATATAATAGTATTAAAGGAATTAATCGGTGCTAAATGCTGTGAAAGAGACATGAATGATATGGCGATAAGGGCAAGGCGTCACCGTCTAGCCTTAAGTCATCCAGACACGCTGCGAGATTAATGTTATATAATAATATTAAAGGAATTTATAGGTGTTGAGTGCCGTGAAGGAGACATGAATGATGAAATATCCTAAATTAGTTTGAAACATGACATGGAATGAATAGAGAAATACTGAAAATTGATATAACCAACAAATGGGGGTATTATATTTCATTTGGAAGAAACAAAAATGATTGTGACAATTTACGTCATGGATGATTCGTTAAATAGCGGAGAAATTGTAATAAATTGACAGGTATGATGGTGCAGCAAACAAGTATGCGCTGGAATTTACCGATGTAAGAAAATCCTAGCGATACATTTTTATCCGAAAATGATGCAGGAAAATCGAAACAATATGGCTGTAATTCATTGCAGATGAAATGAAAACATACATGGACACAACAAGCAATTAATGGGTCAAAACTGCTGTTCAAAAAAAGTATTTATGATGTGCATTGCGGCCTAGCCCCAACGTGGCTTGAAACTGCTATGTTGAAAAAATGTAACAAGAATCCCAAGGAATAATTATTGAAAATGCGAAACTAGGTTTTAAAATTAACAATGTGGAGTAATCTTAGAACGATGTGCTGAAAAAACCATCAAATGAATAAATTAATCCCGATATTTTTAGCCTATAATAATTTATACAATTTCTGCAAAAATTCTGCCTGCTGACAGAACAAAAAAAACTACCTTATTCTAACGGTAAATGAATACGGCCGGAAAACTCTTTTATTTAGTGCCTCAAGTACCTTGACTTTAGAACAGCTTCAAATTTTTGCCGAATATAGTACATTAAATTCTTTTCGATACGCATTACATTAATTTCAATAAGATTTTGTGCAACCACTTACAAAAAAAAAAATAATAATTTTTGATGAAAATCTCACAGTTTTTGAGTTTCGAAAAGATTGTGTACAACTACTAACAAAAAAAATTAACAATGTTGAAAAGTCTCACAGTTTTTGAGGTTGGACGTTACAGAGGCCGGAGTGTTGGCATCAAAGACGGGCATCCCTCCTACCAAGACGCCTTCTTGTCGGTGGACTTGCAGCAACTGAGGCTCAGTTAGGAAAGGACTTGAGTCTCCGGCTTCTGCAGAGTATTTTGCTGCAAATATAATCCCATACTGACCGGCTCCATCCCCCATGTCGACACTGAGCTCCAGGTTGGATCCAAATCTGAACAAAATGTATAAATAACATATAACATTCGAAAAACTTAATTTTCACTAAAAAGAGGAATCTATCTTTTATAAATACTATCCACATAAAAGAGTAAATCGTTCCAGACTCAATTTAACCAGGTATTAAAGGGATTTAAAAATTTGACTCTTTAAGGAATGGTTGAATGCTATTTCATACATTTAGTTTATATAATGCTGAAATTTGTTACAAGGCATCAAGAAATTGCTAATTGCAAAGATTTTAGATGATTTTACTATTTAAACAGCGAAGTACTGCTTCATTAAAGAAATAATAATTTAAAGCATTCTGACCTCATGTAATTCTATACTAAGTTTTTAATATAAAAATTCAATCATAAATTGGGTCTTAGACGATTGAAAAAATACATGTACAATTTTTCCACTTCGCTTCCAATTTATAAGTACAATTTTCTCGCATAAAACTGAATGAAGATTACCTATGCGTTGGAAATTTCCAGAAATATGTAACTCGTCGCAGAACAAAATTTATTACCAACCCGTTACCTTACAGCCATAGCGGAAAACTTTTTGTGCATCACATGATGTAAGTAAACGCAGACAAAAAGTAGCCTACTACAAAACCTTTACCTTACGACCATAGCTGAAAACTTTTTAAGCATCACATTATCATGTGATGCATCATGATCATAACAATGATTTATAAGCATCACATGACAAAATTTTGAGCCATGAAATCACATGACTCAACGAATAACAAAAATTATTACGAACTCGTTACCATAAAACCATAACAAAAATTTTCAAGCATCACATGACAAAATTTTGAGTCATGACATCACATGACTCAACGAATAACAAAAATTATTACAAACTCGTTACCATAAGACCATAACAAAAATTTTCAAGCATCACATGACAAAATTTTGAGTCATGACATCACATGACTCAACGAATAACAAAAATTATTAAAAACTCGTTACCATAAGACCATAACAAAAATTTTCAAGCATCACTTGACAAAATTTTGAGTCATGACATCACATGACTCGACGCAGAACAAAAATTATTACAAACCCGTTACCTTAAGGCCATAACGGAAAACTTTTTATGCATCACATGATGTAAGTAAACTCAGTCAAAAAATACTACAAACTCGCTACCTTGAAGCCGTTACGGAAACCTTTTTATGCATCACATGATGTAAGTATACTGAGACAAAAATTATTACAAACCCGTTACTTTAAGGTCATAACGGAAAACTTTTTATGCGTCACATGATGTAAGTAAAAACAGACAAAAATCATTACAAACGCGTTACCTTGAAGCCGTCACGGAAAACTTTTTCTGCATCACATGATGTAAGTAAACTCAGTCGAAAAGTAATGCAAAACCGTTAACTTAAGACCATAGCGGAAAACTTTTTATGCATCACATGATGTATCAAAACATAGACAAAAATTATTACAAACCCGTTACCTTGAAGCCGTAACGGCATGCCATGCACCATCGTTGAGGGCGTCTCTGAGGCAGAGGCTGAGGGGAGAGTTCGGAGGGTCAGAGAACTTGAGGCAAGCGCGGCCCTCTTCCAGCGACACCGCCACGAACGACAGCCGATGCTGCGAACTCAGCAGCACGATTAGACCGGACGACTCCCTTGTGCGGATCCTGGTGAATAAATGCACGAATCCAGGGAAATGTATTTATTATATAGAGTATAAAACAGTAAAACTAGTTACACTGTTAGAAAAATTACCGTTAACGGTATTACCGGCGTTTCAGTGGCCGGTCGGCACGTGAAAAGAAACACCGTGTCGCCGTTTTTATTCT